AAACTTAAAAATATTAATATATAATTTTTTGTAATATATCACATCATTCTTTAATTAAAATTTAATGGAGAAATAATAAATTAAAATGTTCATCTAAAACCTATTTGACATCTTCTTACAAAGCCATATACAATTCATCAAATATAACTTATTTCAATCAAAATGGATAATCAAAACATCCATCATTTATATCCATTGTAGTTGGACTTTGTTGAATAATAACATTTTTTTGTTCTTCATTATTTTCTTCACTTACTTCTTCATTTTCTTCATTAGTTAATTCATTAGCAATTGGATCTTCAGGTCGTTCAAGAATAACAGGTCTGTGTTGGGTATAATCTTCAATAAGAGAATAACTTGCAACACTGGCAGAAGTACAACTATCAACCATTTTAAGAAGTTCAGAAGTATTTTTACAAGCAATTGGACGAACAATTTCAGTTTTTACTGTTGGTACACAAAGAGTACTCATAAATTATTTGATATAAAAGTTCATTTAATAACTCCCTTTTATATATTTTCAATATAAATAAAGGGTTCTTAATTATTGTAAATTTTTTCTTCTTCTTTCTTACGTTTATCCTTTTTTTTACTTTTCTTTCTTTTAATTTAATTTAAGAATTATCTTACAAACTTTTATGTGGTGAAAAAAGTTTTATTCACTAAAATCCAAAAAGGTTTTACCTTTGTATTTTCTTTTTTTCATTTATTGTATTGACGTTTAATATTTCCTTTTTTTAATACAAAAAAACTTCATGATAGTTGTGAGTTGGTAAATGAGTTAATTATATTATTTTGTTTTCTTCGAAAGTAAAAGAACGAAAGAAGAATCAAATAGACGTAAAGTTACTTCTTTCATAGTACAAAAATACATTTTAATTAGTAAAATTTCAAATTTTTAAAGACCTTTAAACACCTTTGACTGCCATCAGATTATTTTAAAAAAATGTATAAATGTTATTAATCACAAAATTATGAGAATGAAGGAACTAAAAAATAAAAAAAAACAAAAATAAAAAGACAAAGACTCCTTCCAAAACTTACTATTACATATATCTTACTGGTTTTTTAGTTTATTTAGTTCATTTAATTTAGATTTTTTGAGAAGAAATCTTAAAGAGAGGGTTTAAATTACAATGTTACACGTTGAATACCACCATGAAGATGGGACAATAGAATTACTTAATGTTCCTATTACACAAACTACAGAAAGTGATATTTTGAGAATTGCAAATATTGCAGATCCTGAGAATTATGAAATAATAACAAAAAATAATGAAAGACCAAGATATGTTGATGGAGAATCATTAATTTTACATTTAAGTATAGAAGAAAATGTTAAAAGAGATATTAATGTTTTTCAACAAATTGGTTCAGTTTTACATAAACAATTAATGTTCAATTTAAAATCAAAATTTCTTGATAAACAATACATCAATCTTTTTATTGAATATGGAGGGGTATTAAAATTGTTTGATTCAATTGCTCAATCTGAAGGAAATACTCAAAGTTATGCTTTAAATGCTTTATTAGTATTAATGTCAGATGAAACAGGATTTAATGCTGTAATTCAATGGGAACATGCTAGTGATATTTTATATTCATTATTAACAAAAGACACAGCTGCAACTATTTCTCGTCAAGCAGCAGAAATATGTACTGTATTAACTACTTTTTGTGGGTCTGATGGTATCGAAGAAGCAGCTGGAAATTTTGCTACAAAGAATGGAAAAAGAAAGTTTGAAAATTTAGTAGAATTAGCGTTGTCTGGAGATATTCAAACATCAGAAAATGCAATGCTTCTTATTGATTCATTAATGATAGGAGAGACTAAAGACACAATCATTTTATTAATTAAAGAGTTTGATGTTTTAAATAAACTAAAATCTTGTAATTCTGAAATTATTCAAAGATGTTTAAAAAATATTAATACAGAAATTGTTGGAGAAACTGGAAAAACAAAAAAAGGATGGGATGATTTAAAGTTATTAAGACCAGAAATGAATGAAGTAGAAAATGAAAGAATTTTATTAGAAAAAGAATATAATAAATTATATAATGAATTAAAACAATTAAAAGAAAAAGAGAGAATTATTAAAAGTGATACTGTAATGAAAAATACTCAAATTAAAAAACTTGAAGAAGAAGAAAAAGAATTAAATAATAAAAGTATGCTTATTGAAGAAAAAATGAATAGTATTTTAGAATATCCTTCAAGAGAAACAATGATTAATGAAATTAAAAGTAATAAAAAAATTATTGATAGTTTTGAATTTGAAAGAACTTTATTAAAAAATAAACTTGCTGATATGGAAATTAGAGAAAAACCTCAAATTCAAATAGAAGATGAAATTACTAATGTTTTTGATGAACAATTGACGAATCCACCACCTCCTCCTCCACTAATGCAAGGAAAAGGTCCTATTAATGTTGAAGGAAAACATTGTGTTGAAGGGTATTTAAGAAATGCATTTGTATTATTACAAAGTAGAATTAATGTTTTATTATTATTAAAAAGTATTAATGGAGAAAATAGAGATGTTGATGAACAAACAATGACAATTGTAATGAATATAATTAAAAGAGCTAATTTAAAAGACTATGAAAATATTACTTCAATTCAAGAATATTCTACACTTGACCAATATGCTCTTAAAATTTTGAAAGAACCTTTTATTAGTCAAAAAATTCAAATTAGTATTCAATGTAATCAAGTTCATAATAAATTAGATGACCTTTTAACTCCACTAAGAACAATAGATGCTGCTTGTAATGCAGTAAGAAAATCTTCAGCATTAAAACCTGTACTTGCAACACTTTTAAATATTGGTAATTTTGTGAATAGTGGTTGTAGTCAATTAGAACGAGCTGATGGATTTGGGATGGAAATTCTTCCTCTACTAAAATTTATTGGATCATCTCAAACATATGCTGAGTTTTTAACAACTTCAGTTGATGTTAAAACTGTAGAAACAGAGTTAAAAGTATGTTGTGATGTTAATGACGATCTTCAAAATGTTGTTAATTCATTAAAACAAACAGAGACATCAATAGTTGGAATTAATAAAATTTACGCTGATATGATTTCATCTGGTAATAACTTTGATTCTATCAAAAAAGAAATTGAAATCATTACTAAAAAATCTAGAAGTTATCTTCAAAAAGCATCTCAAACAGAAAAATTATTCAAAGAAACTTTATTCTTTTTTACTGCTGATGAAAACGCTTCTAATATTTATACTACTTTAACATTTTTTGGTATATTTGCTGAGTTTATTACAGCACTTACTCTTGCTGCTAGAGTAGAAGAACGTAGACAAAAAATTATTAATGAAGAACTTAAAACAAACTCATACGCTCCTGGCTCAAATGAAGATCCAATGACCCAAATTATTGCACAATTAAAGTCTGGACAAATTGGAAAACAAATGCTAAAGAAATAATTATTTACATTCATCGATATTACATTTTTTATTATCTTTCCTAAAAAGAAAAATAGGAAAGTGAGTAGTTTTTATTGAAAGGGAAAAATTGTAAATTTCAATTGAAAATATATCCAGCCTCCTTAAGAACATCAAAGAT